AGAGCATGGCACTAGCAGCGCTAAGGTCATGGCGTTTTCAAGGAAATGGATTAACTGAGAAAAATGTTTCATGAATGCAGTGTCACTTTGGATAAATTGTCTGCCAGATGCATAAATGTAAATGAATGACCTGACTGACAAAACAGATTAAGAGCCTTCTTCTTTAGAACACCAAAGGAGATTTTTTGAAGAATATTTTTGAAATACTTTTTTCATACAATGAACAGGGGTTGTGAAGCTGCAAATGGGGTTCCCAATTAAGGTTCTCTTGGAACTGATATTAGAAAAGCTTGCACATTATATATATAGTATGTATATCACAGTGGTATTAACGCATCAGCTTGAATGTGTTTGTTTTTTGTCCAGAAAATGGGATCATTAAATCGGACCGCGTATATGAAGTTATGTTGGCCACAGACCGTGCCCACTTCTCCAAATGTAATCCATACATGGACTCGCCACAATCTATAGGTAAGCTCCAGGCCAGAGTTATTATTTTGTTGGCACAATGTCATCTACAACTGTATTGCTTCCATTATAGTTTACACTGCAAGCGTCCGATGTGGCCAAAGCTTAGCGAGACATAATTCCTGCTTTCTGTTTTTGCTGCTCTGCACAATTACACCAACCACATCATTTTCCCTGTATGTCTGAAATAAAAGGATTTTATTAATTCATTGGAATAGTTTCGAACTGACGTTCGGAAGTACATCCACTTCTATCCAGTGTAGATATCTTTAAGCTGATTTCAAAGTGAAGTGATGTCTTCCAATGCAGATGCAGTATTGGACACAATGCAGTATTCTGGTGATTCTGTTGATGTGTTTTCTCTTTGGGATGAAAGTGTTTTTTGTCATTTTTTGCAGGTTACCAAGCAACAATCAGTGCACCGCATATGGTAAGTTAAACTGCTTTAGAAACATTTGCAGTTGCAGTTACTTGCCTGTTTGCGGTAGACGCTGATGAACGCTCATTTGTGTGCTGTAGCACGCGTATGCTCTAGAGCTCCTCCATGATCATCTGTATGAAGGAGCAAAGGCTCTGGATGTGGGATCAGGCTCCGGGATCCTGTCCGTCTGCTTCGCCAGAATGGTGAGTCTCTTCACTGCCAATTCCAAATTAAATGTAGAGCAATGGCATGCAAACAATTATGACGCATTAATTACTTTTGTACATTAGAACAGTTAAACAGTGTGTGTGATACAGAGGAGCTAAACTGCAAAAATAAATGAGCATATGGGGAGACCCAGAATTTTTCGGTTTTCACAGAATTCACAGAAAGTTTGTCCTGTGGCAGGTTGAATAAACTGCTTAGACTAGTCTTAAAAGTTAGTCATCTATCATATTTTTTTTCTGTAAGACTGGTCATAACTTTTCATAGTCAGTTACATGAAAAGGTAGATTGGTCTAATTAGAATACAAAAAGTAAGACTGGTTGGTTAGTAAGACGAGTATGACACTTGTTTAACTGCTAGTTGGACAAAGTAGTTCTTAAGGTTCTTAACATATTGTCTATGTTTATGCAACTGGCGCCTGAACACACTTATTTGCACCTTTTGCAATCATTGCACACCATAAATAAAACCACAAAAGTGCACACATACACAAAGGGTAAAACTCAAATCATTCATCTTTTTAGCAGTTGTGATGCTAGTACTATACACCTGAAAATATTGTTAGCGTACAACTTAACTTATTCAATTAAGAAAGTTACAGGTACTGTTTCTGAAACTGCAGTCATTGCACTTAGACGACCTAATCTCTGTGGATTTACTCCATTGAACAGATGCTTAAAAGGCTTGTACCTTGTCTGTCCACTTGTCGGAAAGCCTCTCCATGTTTAGTGGTATAAAATTAGCCCAATCCTCTGAGTAACAGCTACAACAGGTCTGTTTACATGTGGAAGCTGATTACTCTACTTTTCTTTGGTTTGTTCAGCATGTGCATCCAACCAGTCACAGGCTGCAGTACCTCCCAGTTTTTTAGATGCAAAATTACTGAGTAATTCCTTATAAGATTCTGAAATGAGCATTAGTTTCTGCGTTGGGAAGAATATTTATGTAAAAACAAATTCTGTAATTGGATATGGATATTGAATTAAGTAAATTCAGCGCTACGCTTTGTGACAAATCATTCATTTACTTCTGCCAGTTTGGACCTCAATAGTGTGACGGTGGTTTGTTGTGTGTGTCCTTTACAGTGGATGTGTTGTGGTGTTTCTCAGGTTGGGCCGAAGGGGAAGGTGATTGGCATTGATCATATGAAGGAGCTTGTGGAGGATTCCATAACTAATGTAAAGAAAGATGACCCTAGTTTGATCTCTTTATATCCATTCATCAGACTACTTTACTTTTCTGTCATTGCAGAAAATGTTTTCAAAAGTACACAGAACTAGCTATTTGTTATGTCATGACATTTATCAGACAGTTTTATATTCAGAGACAGGCAGTACACTATAGGAATAGAACAGAACAGTAATATGGGCTCATCTGCGTTTTTCGGTAATGTTGTCTGTATGTGTGCAGTTGGAGATGGAAGAATGGGCTATGCAGAAGAAGCACCTTATGATGCCATACATGTTGGAGCTGCAGCTCCCACAGTGCCACAAGCAGTATGTTTCCTTCCAGTCACAAAAACACTTTGAGACCCAGTCATATTTGTACCTTAAACTGTATCTTTAAAGGAATATTTCACTCAGAAATGAAAATTGTCATCATTTACTCACCATGGATCTGGATGTTCACATGTATTGTTCATATTGTTTGTGTTGTAGTTGTTGGACCAGCTAAAGCCAGGTGGGCGTCTGATTCTGCCGGTCGGGCCAGCAGGAGGGAACCAGATGCTGGAGCAGTATGACAAATTGGAGGATGGCAGTACCAAAATGAAGCCACTGATGGGCGTGATTTACGTGCCTTTAACAGACAAAGACAAGCAGTGGTCAAGGTGGAAGTGACTTCCTGTCCTCTGTCCCCTCTCTCTCCTAGGGCACAGGTGAAATGGTGTGGTCCGGAGCAGACAGAGGCTGCATTTGCCGCTTGTCATCTTTTTTGCTGCTCCATACCATGATGAAGAGCTGCACAGTTTTTTTTACTTTAACCCACCAGCCTGATTTGGGGGAAAAAAAACATTTTATAATGTTTTAAATTTCCGGTTTGCCATTAACTGCTGGAATGGGCTTTGAGTGATAAGTCATAAAAGCATGAAGACATCAAAACCTGTTTAGACTTGGCATTATGGCTTTGTTCACACTGGCAGCCCAAATCAGATTTTTAAGGCAGATCAGACTCAAATCCAGTTAGTTTTTTTGTAGTCTGAACAGCAAAAAACTCCAAAGAAATCTTTTGTTTAGGCATATGTGACATCACTTAAAACTCAACGAGGCAAGCTTAGAAAGTTCCTGTAAATACATTTGAATTAAATTGATTTCAATTTATGTTGGTATAATTTGCGAGAGCAGTAGTTGCCCCCAGCACAATTGCGCAGCTAATTTAGCCTTCAGATTTCCACCCTGTTAGACAACTGCCATTGTGACATGTATTTAATGTCATATACAGTGAGCGCTGAGCATTAATGTGTAGATGTGAATGTTTAAAATAATGTGCTCTTTGTTGCATTAAATGCATTCAAACTGACAGTTTCTGCTGTCAGTTTTAGTAGAAGAAAGTCTCTTGGCATTGTGTTGACGCCTACATCATTACTATAGCAACTAATGTAGATACACCAGATAGCGAGTCCAGTGTCTGAATCCTGTTTCATCAGTGGAAAAGTGCAAACCATGAGTCCTTAAGATTGGCTTTGATAAACAAATTGCATGCAGTTTGAACACAGCCTGTATTGCACCTTAATACCTTTTAAGATTGTTGAAACTAATTGTTGCATGTGTTGTTGTGTTTATGTCAGTTGTGATGTTTTGTATGATAATGTCTTGTTGTGTATCTTTGATGTTCACAGTAACTTTTTTCTCTCTTTTTTTTTTTTTTTATAGGGATGAACTTTGAAAGGATGATCTGGCAATACTCATTGCACCATATGCGCACACACACGCACGCACGCACACACACACACACACACACACATACACATATACATCCAAATGGACTTCACTGAGTAGAGCTTGTATAAATGCTCTATTTCCATACCTGTGACAGTCTGATGGTTGTGAAAGACAGATGTATTGATCAGATTATTTTATTTAAAAAGGAAAAAAGTGGAATAGGGCTTTGTGCTGAGATTTTCATGCCTGCAGTTTGAGAATTGTGTGAATGCAGTTTTTTTTGGGGGGGGGGGGCGGTTTATGCGCAGGTGCATTTTTCTTGTGATGACTTCAGTATTACAGTCAATTGGATTGTTCATGCATCTCAGCGTAATGTAAACAGAACACGGGGGTCGGCCTTTGTGCTGAATCCACCCTGTGATTAAATCATAATTCACTGCTACGTAATGTGTAGGGATGTCTTTGCACAACAAATCCGTGTTAATAGTAATGGCTTGTGTTTTCAGCTGAAGCATGTGATGCCCAGGCAGAATAAACTACTTTACATTTGATAATTCCATCATAGGATTCTAAAGTACCACAGTAAGCCACAAGAGGGCATGTGTTATAAAGCAATAAGCCCCAAGAAGCCATGGTTTACAGTGAATTTATAACAGCTAAGGGGCGTTGTTAGAAACCCCCTTAGCTGTTATAAATTTACTGTAAACCACGGCTTCACGGGGCTTATTGCTTTTATAAAATGGTTATTCCATATACGTAGTAAGGTTTCACAAAATAAAACAGCAAATAAAGTGTAATGATATTAATAAAAACAGTATTCTTCCACCAAACAATGTAGTTCCTCAGAAACAGTTGTGGTTGCAACAAAGTGGTTGCCGAGCAACACACAGAAGTAAACAAAGGTGTATGTTTGTAGAGTAATTTACAACAACTTTGAACGCGGCTCAGCCAATCAGAATCAAGGACCGGAACTATCCATTTTATAACAATGATTTTACCACGGTTGTGGGATGTTCTTTGGTTGATGCAGATCAAACCTCTTTAACTGTCATAAAATCAGTATAACACAGAGTTTCAAATGGCTCAGTGTGGGATAATGTACAGTCAGCTGGTCATTATAGCAAAATGTACTCCCAACACTAAGCAGAACTGTTATTCCTGGATGCTTGCCAACCAAATAAATGGACATGAATTATTGAAAAGTTGAAAGTATTTTAATACGTGAGAAGAAAGAGTGCAGAATGATATAAGAATTTTTTTATATGGGACAGGTGAATTTTTTTCTTTTTAGCGTCGCTACAAAAATATGTACAAACCACAGAATGCTGACATTAATCAATCAAAATCAGGTATTCCAGAGAACAGAGTCTAATCATTGCTTTTAGAGCGGCAGCGATGGCAATATGATAAAAGACTCCAATGTTCAATAAATAACTACCTTTATTAATATGAATAATTATAACAATGTAATAATTTAAAAAAATTCTCCTGGCAAGTAATACAGTCCATTAGCTATAACTTTAGGCTGTTTACAGTTGCCAAGCAATGCAGCAACATTAAAATAGACTGATGGCCACAGGTGTGTGTTTATAGGTGTTTTACAACGGGTATTTTACAAAGCGTATCTAACTATAGTTTACACGTTGTATAAATTGAAATGTTAGAAATCAACTCCAGAATACTAAAATAGATTTGTCATGATTTACTCATGTCGTTCCAACCCCATATTATTTTCTTTGTTCTGTGAAACACAACAGATGCTTTTCCACATGATGAAATTTGATGATTTATATTGTCAACCCGTTTCAACTAAGTTTGTGTTAAATTCAAATCGTCGCCTTTAGATTTGACGTTGTGGACCCCAAACAACACTGGTTCTCGTGTTCTTGGCGAGTATGACAAACGTGAGATTTGAGAACTGCTGTGGAAGGGAAGATTAAATCTTCAGACTTGGATTAGACAGAGCGCATGAGTTGTATGGATGGACTACTTTTATAGTACTTTTGTGTCCTTAGCGCTTGACAGCAAAAATCATCATCCACTTTATATGGAAAACAGAATCTTGAACATTTTGCTTATTTCACAGAAGAAAGAAAATCATACAGGTTTGGAATGATATGAGCAGAGTTGGGTCACACGTTTAGAGCACAAGTGTAGCAATATTACTGCTCACTATGAAATGTGTTTCACATCACTGCACTGCTCAAAATAAGCTTGTCTATATTATCTAATGTGCAGCAAGTAAAGTCCCACTCAGATCCACACTTGCATACACAGCGTTGAGCTAAACCTTCAATGGCCATTTTGATTGTAAGCGATTTTCAATGCCAATTCTCTGCATGTTTGTGTGTTTCCTGCACGCACAAACGTGGCTTTTGACAAATAAACTCACTGCTAAGCAATGATCTGTTCAATCGCTTGTCTCTTCTTTCACACAATCACACAGTCTGAACTGTAGAGAGATTTTTATAATTACATAAAATCAACCACAAAATGCTTCTCTGTCAGTCTCCTACACTCTTAAAAATAAAGGTGCTTCACGATGCCATAGAAGAACCTTTTTGTCTAAATGGTTCCATAAAGAACCTTTAACATCTGAAGAACCTTTCTGTTTCACAAAAGGTTCTTTGTGGCGAAATAAGGTTCTTCAGATTACAAAAAGGTAAGAAAGAGATGGTTCTTTAAAGAACCTTTGACTGAATGGTTCTTTGTGGAACCAAAAATGGTTCTTCTATGGCATCGCTTGAAGAACCTTTTGAAGCACCTTTATTTTTAAGAGTGTAGGTTTGTTTTCACTTCTCAGTATACCTTAAACAGAATCTGTCCGATCGCTACCACTAAGAAGAGCAGTCTGATCAAACAGATGAAATGTAGAGTGCCACAAAGCTGTCTTAGCCCCTTTATTCATCTTGTACATGCTACTTTTTGGTGGTTCTCAACTGTTGGATCACATTACAAAAATGGGTGGCAGGTTTGTTCTGATAGAGTCAGAGAAAAATAATGCTCAGTGCAAATAAAATACAACTAACCATATCATTGGGCATACTCTAATAAATGCTGGGTTAAATACAACCCAGTGCTGGGTACAATAGGGACAAACCCAGCAATTGGGTTGTTTTGACCCAGCGGTTGGGTTAAATGTTTAACCCAACCTTCTGGGTAGTAACCCAACCGCTGGGTCA